GATCCACCTTCCTCCTTACTTACTTTCCCTATTTCTCGTACACGTCGCATGGTTCAACTTTAATCTCCGCGCTCACTTAGTCGGGGTCTCCAAAATTTTCCTGAGGGTCTTGAAGAACTCGAGCCCCTGGGACGAGCGTCAAAAATCGCGAAGGAGCAGCGACGTGCTCCTACCTCCTTGCCGAGCGAGTTAGCGAGTCCTGACTTCTCCATCTCATCGATGCTGCGGAACATGTCCTCCAGGTTGATACCCATCTCCTGTTCATTCCAAAGTTACCCTCTCTGCACATCGCTCGCTCCAACAACGCTTCTACTCCCTCCCCCTCCCGCACCTTGAAAGATCTTTTGACTTCTGCGACCTCCTCCGGGCTCACTCCCTCCTTGAGCACCTCAGACAACTGCGCTTGCAGCATGGGGAGAGCAGCCTGAGGATAAAGAGGTCAGCAGGAGGAGCAAGCAGCTCCAGCACGGGGTTACCGCCATCATCTCAGGGTCCATCTCCCCGGGATTCTGCATGCCCTTGTTCAAGAGATCGTCCATGGAGAAGTCACTGATGATCTTCTCGCGCTCCTTCTCGTCTCCAGTCTTTGGGCCATCAAACTCGCCCACCAGTTCGACCTGCTCGCGCTCAGCTGGAAAGCTCCTGACACGATCAGCTTGTACCGTGGCAGAAGACCCTGAGGCTTGCTTGGTGCTGTTGGTCCTGCAAGAGGGCGATCAGAGAGGAGAGAAAGGCATGAGAGAAGGAGGTGGGAGCTCGAGACTGACTTGAAGTTCATATTGGTTTGATCCTTCGCCATCTTCTCCAACTCCTCATCGCTCAACTTCTTTGACTTCTTGAAATTGTACTTGTCGCGAACGTCCTTGACCAGCTTCTCGGGAGGAGCGCGATACGTTCCGAACTGCGGAGCATTAGTGTACTGAAACGTCTTTGCTCCTGGTCCTGATTGCGCATGTCAGGCTAAGAGAACATGTGCAGCATGTGCTAACGGTTGATGCGCGGGTCGTCAAGGATGGAAGCGTCAATCTCGATGCCAGACTTCTGTGACAGCATCTGCCTCAACTGCAAATCCACGTCACTCATCACGCGAGAGCAAGAGGACGACCAGAGTCTACCTGCTCTGCCTTCTTCTTCTCCACGTTCTGATAGAGCATGTAACCCACTCCTCCAGCTGCGACTATGCCTGCTCCCCCGATGAAGGCAGGGTGGGTCACCACACGCAGAGGAAGAGGCTTGAAGTTTGGATCCGCTAGCTCTGCCACTCTTGCTGCATACGCCTCCTGCGAGGGCAAGACGATCTTCGGATCTTGCATGGCTTGCTCCACCGCATAAGCTGCCTTCCCGCCATTGAACATGGCGGGAGATGCGAAGATCGCTGCAGCAGCCCCAATCTTGCCCATCATCTTGCGAATCCTACAGGAATGTAAGTATTGTGTGACATCCACGTACGAGAGGTCACCTCCCATCCTTCATCTCGACGTTGCAGGCAGCGGCATTTCTCCTTCCCTTGATCTTAATCGTATCAAGTCTACCAGCGATGCCCAGTGGTGATTGAAAGGCAAGAGATGTCTCAAGAACAGCTCCTACGAGCAGCAAAGTCCAGAACTGATGAAAACCAATACATCATGTTCGCCCAAATCCATTGTTCTTGACCTTGTGTCAAATAATATATTGCATATCACTCCAGATAAAACAACAAACAAAAATATCCGAGAAAGCAAGCAAAGTGAAAGAGAATTCAGACATGTGCAGCACTTGCAAACATAATCTGAGACACCTTCGTGTCATTTTCAACAAGGACATGTTCTATCATTCACGCGCATCTCAACCCGGCATGACTTCTATTCCCGCCACGGAATTCCCTTCCTCACCTGCGCCATGGCGGCCGCCTCTCGAGGTCTTTGCCGTTACACCTGTAAATTATTCGTAACGGATTTCATCCGACACAGTCACTATTCACAGTACGGGGTCAAGCCTCCGGGCCGGCGCGGGGGAATTGTCATGCCGTTGTGCGCGCAGTTAAGTGAAGGTATCAGTTAAGTTTGGGGGACAGCAGTACTGATTTTTAACTCAACTTTGAGTAAAGAGAGGCCCACGGTGCCCGGACGGCAGCCGCGCCCGGCCCGGCAGCGAGTTGGTATCTGCGCGGCCCGCTACTTGAAGTTGCAAACTTGCAGAGTTGAGTTCAGACAAATTTCTGATTTTCGAACCAACGATTGACATTCTTTCAATCAGTCGCACTTACACTACAAGCAAAGTCCAGACACTCCTTTTGGATCGCTAACTTAACATATGCTAAGCTTCAGGCTGCCGCTAGTGAATTATAGAAACACAAGAAAACCAGATTCATCCAGCAGTCATCCACAACACCACGACAAAAACAATCTTGGCTGTGATAAACTGTCCAAAAGTTAATGTAAATCGATCCAGATGATTTAGCTACACACCAGGAGAAATCCCAGAAGATACATCCTTTTCTTCCTTCGTTCGATGTCTCGCACCCTTTCATCGACTTGCTGTCCGCCTGCGGCATCTGCAACGAAAATCAAACACGACACATTAAACGGAAATACAGTCGGTATCTGTTGAAAGCTGGCATGGCTCGTACCTGCTCCAAGCTGAGGCTGTGCCGCTCCGAACTCAATCAGGGTTTTCAAGTCCACCACCCCAGACAAAAGCGCAGGCACCCATCCATTCTCCTCCGTTTTCAAGTGCGTCATGGTATCTCTTCTAGTTTTGTCCAAAAGTCAGCAAAAAGAATGCACAGTACCAAATCCGCACCTTCCGTCAGGCACGTATGCCTGCGTTTCAGACGGCACTGAGTAGCACATGTTTTGCATTACATCGATCACATGTGAACCATCCTCCTGTCAAAAAGAATATCAATCCAAACCCTTGAGGAACAATCTCATGCAGACATTTGCCGCGTTCAGTTCAGTTTGCTCTGCCAACGTTGTAAGAACTCAGCAATCAGGCATACAATCTCTTACCACTTCCCAGATAGTTGCCAACCAAGTAGTCTTCTAGCGACAGCATGCTCTTCACAACACTTGCCATACCCAAGTTGTGCTGTGATGGATGAGAAAATGAAATGGCGCACACTAAGTCACAACCTGCAACATTGCGAGGAGTGATCCTCCATTGGCAGGATCTGTGTCAAGCTGCAAGGTTATAGCAGAGTTCTGCACGGTTGTTGATTTGATGAGCGTGATCACTTCTCGACACGAGGGACAACACCAGTAACCCCGATCACGGATACCCACACTGCAGCAACAAGATCAACAGAGGGAGCAAACTTGACGCCAAACCTCTCACCTCTCACTGGTACGGCAACAGTCGATGTGAAAGCAATGATTGCACGCGGTGACTACACTTTGACCAAGAAACATCTCTTCCAGGCAAACGGGACATACGCTCGATTCATCGCCCTCTACAGTACATCGGTTGAGATCGTCCTCTCTCGCCAGCCACAAGCGCCGTTCAATCTCCAATACCACAAAGTCTCTGGCTTCTCTGCCTTCATTTGGTGGTTTTGGCGCCATTGTGGGTCCATACACATATTGAGATTGGTCAGTAACGGTACTCATTGCAGCATACATGTGCTGGTGATTGTGATGATGATGGGAGTGGGGAAGCTGCTGTTCGCTTTGATTCATGCCGTTTTCCGGCTGCATCATCCAAACCAGCTCGCCCTGAGTCGCAACATGAGGTGTTTGCGTCGCATGCGCACCCATGTAGTGATCGTTCTGCGTCCCTGGGTGTTGAGGCATGAACCGGCTGCTGCTCGCAGGCTGGTACGGCAAGGGCATCACAGCTACATGGGAATGGTCGAACTGCCCCTGATTATAAGAATGTCCATGCGCAACCCTCCATCTTGGTACGATGGCAACGTTGCCCTCCATCCGTACGGCGCTGGTGAAAGAAACATTAGAACGATGCGTTTGATGGAGATGGCGCTAAGACAGATAACGAAGCCTGCCTCATTAAGAGGTTTCGCTCATTCGATCTAGCTTGTCTGCGGGGTCTCAACCTGAATCTTGAAGGGTCGATCTTTACCTTCGATCTATTTGGCTGCCTTGGCACAGAAGAATCTAATCAGGATCAGCAGCAACAGGCGTGCTGGCGGTTCTCAGATCTGGAGACCTCAAATGCTTCCAAGCATGTTCTCTCCTAAGCTATCGCTAAACTCGAAGCCTGTATGCCTCAATCACTCTCGCCATCTTCTTCCACCTGCTCACTTTGCGTGCTCCTGCTCTGCTTCACTAATGTTGCATCTTCAGTCCTCCCGCCATATCGTAGGCTTAGGACTTCAACGGGGAGGTCCTACCTCACCTATTCTACGCAAAAAGTCCTAGGACCGGAACCACCCTCTGTGACTGCTCTGTGACCCCCTTTCTCACTGGGATAACCCACCACCTCCTCATAGCAGGGTCCTAGATCATATCTTCTTCATCGGGTAGGGTCATACCTATATTTCCTAATACCTCTTAAAGAATTTCTATGACCTCCTATCAAACTTCCGTCTGGAAGTACCATCCGGACTTTCCGGCGATCACTGACCGGACGGTCACTGGCCCCGGCCGGCGGGCCGGGCAAGTCCCGCCGGGTCACCGGTCGACTTGTACTATACTAGCAACTGACGTCATTGTTTTACTCTCAGTTTGGCCCATCCCTCATCATTCAAGTTTGCCTCAGTGGTTTGGTCAAAGCGAGGATCTCGGAAGACGACAGGAGCTTCGTCCCATCGCCTTTGAACGCTTGCTCTCCCCTTGTCAAACTCGACGGCGAGGAGTGATCCGAGCACAGCTGATGTCGCTGGGAAGCCTTCGACCTCTCTCGTCTGCTCGGGGCTGCGTTGCGCACGGATACGAGAGAGTTCGAGGACGAGGTCGCCGTAGACCTGAAGAGAGGAGGACAATAAGGAGCTGGCACCGGCACGGGAAGGTAAGTGCAGTGACCTTGGAGAACGACGAGTCATCATTGGGGTCCCAGTGAGCGGCGCCGAACGCTCGGGAACTTGAATGGAAGCTGCTTCCTCTCGCTGCCTCGACAAGGGGCGGTGGGTTGGCTCGATGCTCAGGGTCAGAAGAGTTTGAGTTTGCCCCTTGTGCTTCCGTATGGTCGTCGGATCGCTCGACACGCTTCCCTGCCACAAGCAGTCTGGCCCGTCGCTCTGAATGTTTTTGTCTATAAGAACATCAGTGAGCGATATAAGCACTTGACACGAAGATAGGGGATCACTTCTCTAGGGTCTTCGACAAGCCTTCCGTCCTGTGTTTGGCTTCCTCGTTTGCTTGCTTCGATAGCTCAGCAAGGGAGGTCACTTCGCCTGGCATATACCTGAAGTGACAGCATCTTGGATTTTTCGTTCTTGTCGTAGCAAAGTTAGCAAATCCAAAGAACCGTTATTGAAGGACAAACCGATGGCTCGATGAGGTCAAATGCTCGAATTCTTCGCATACTCGCTTGTTGCTCTTGCAACTCTTCTAGCTGAGGTGACAGTTCGTTTAACGCATCCTCCTGCAGCATTATCAGCATTTGACCGCATCTGAGCATTTGACCTGATCGACCAGATACGTTTCTTGCACTTTTTCTTTCAGCAACTTCATGGCCTTCTCATACCCATCCCAAACTTTGGTCAGAAGCGCATCTGAAACCTCATTTTCCTGGTGCAAAAGGCTTAGGAGAGAATCTTTTCCACGCTGCAGATTTGAACCTGAATGGCTTTGTCGATCGAGCTTTGCTCCTAATATCTTTTTGTTCAATTTGTTTGTAACATTCATGAATTGAAAGTAACCTGTAAATATTCTCCGGTTTTACCGTCTTCAGAATTTAGATGGCTCACTTGACCCAAAATCTGCGATGATATTTCGGCCACATAGTTCACATCCATTGTCAAACCTGAAGTGTATATTGACTTGTCTTCGTTAAGATTCTCTTTCTTTGATCATTCAAAATTGTCTCAGACCTTTCAGGGGTGTAAGATTTCTCTTTGCAAGGTCTTTGATCCAATCCTTACTGGAGAATCTGTTGGTAACAGGCAAGTGCTTCCTGGTCACTCGAATTCAATTCCAGAAGCTGAGAAACGAACAGCATCAGATCCCATTGAACAAGAGTGTGAAGTTTTGTCATATTCAACCATTTCAAAGAGAGGCTTCGCCTTTTGCAGCTCCGCTTTCTGATACAACTCAAGTGCTTTTTCACGAATGGTCGATTTCTCTTTCTCCAAAGTGACTAGTCTCGACTTGCTCCTGGGTCATCGAGATCACGCAAAACTGAAGAACCTTACAAGATCTGTATCTACCTTCGAAACAAAGACTGTTAAGCAGTAGACAGACAGGTCAGAGTCTTTCAACGATGGCTAGCAACCGACCTCGTACAAGAGCGAATCCTCAAGCGCTTGTTTCAGACTCTCTTGCAAGCTTGCATTCTTTTGTCTCTCCTGCGGTATTCAAAGTTCAGACGAAATCGCGGGGGCGTTTCGAAACCTCTCGAGAGATTTTCATGCTTACCAAATCCAATGCTGGGGAACACTCACTCAATCTGCGACGAAGTTCTACAACTTCATTCTCCATTTCGATCCTTTCATTCTCAGCATATTTCCAAGCCTGCTCCCTTTATCAGCTTTTTGCCACAGTTGAAACTTTCAGAAGTAAACATGGTCTTACCTCTCTTGCGCTGTGTATTTCGTTTTGCAAGAGCACATGTCGATCTTCGAGCTTAAGAATGTTCGAGATGTAGGTGTTCTCCCTTTGAATGTTTTCTTGGTGCCATGCATGAACAGACTCTATGATGTCCATCAGGTCCAGCCTAGATATCCGGATCTCTTGCTTGAGGATCTCTGTTTGTCTCTTAAAATTTTCGAGCAGTGAGGCGTACAGTCGCTCTCTGGAGTTGAACTGTTCTTTCTTCTGCTCCACCCCCAGCCACAAAGCCTGTCATGGACCACTGGTTTCTATTCCAACATGCACAAGAACATCTCAGCCTCACCTTGACGGTTGGCCAATCATGAGGCAGCCTCTCGAACTTTGCCACCTCACTAGCTGCTTGCACACGGTTCAGCTCAGCCCTGCCAGCACCATCCTTGGATCAGCTCAGAAGCTGAGGCCGTCACTACCTGAGTTCTTGCTCTCTTCTCCGAATGTCTGCCAGCTCCTCTTCCATGGCCTTGGCCATCCTTGCCTCAAACTGAGCGACAGAGGTTGCGTCGTGTACCGCTCCTTGCCGTAGCCTCCTTTCCTCCTGCAGGGAGAGCTCAAGCTGCAGGCATTTCATCTTTTCCTTCTTGTGCTGCTCCTTCAAGGCCGCAAGCTCTAGAGATGCTGCCTCAAGCGCCTCCTGGGTTCTTCTCAGAGCTCTCTTTACTCGCACATCGTCCTCTCCCCCGGGCGCCATCCCGGCAACGTGACTCTGCTTGCCGCCTCTAAGTAGTCTTCTCTCAGAGGCTCTCCTCCATGCCACTGGCTAGTCAAACTTGTCAAAGTTTTAGGCCGGACTCTGGGAGCCGCTTCCCGGCGCAGTTTCCTCAGTGGCCCAAGTTACCGCGGCGGGGCCGGCCCGGGGTCCGGCTAGGCCCGGGTGCTCGGACATCTGCTGGGCGGAGTCGGATCCGCCAGCCATCCATGATAGAATGGTCACCGTTGCAGAAAGCGCCGCAACGCATCATCCCCGGCGCCAAACTTCGGGCCCATCGCCAGCACTGATCATCGGATGGTGAGCACATTACCGTCGGATGCCCTCGGATCTTCCTGCTTGCAGTTCCTGCTTGCAGTTTGCCCCCCAGGGAGTTCCGGCGGAGCCCGGCCATCGCGGCCTAGACTCATCATCATGGCATAGTCTCCTGCCGCCCGGCCTGCGGCCAGGGCCGGCCCCACGGTGTACTGCTACTGCCAACTCCGGGGCGCTGAACTTCGGCGGCGAAACTACGGAGGCTACCCTACCCACCAAGTTCATAGGCTTGTACCCCCTAAAATCAAAGCACCACTTGATGTTAGCTACCCCTGCTACCTGCGCTTTGAGAGTACCCCCCCTGAGCTAGACGGGTGAGGCGCACGAGGGCATGGTGAACATTCGGCGGGCGCGGGTGGAGGATCTGCTTGAGATGCAGGCGTGTAACCTCGCCTGCCTCCCCGAGAACTACCAGCTCAAGTACTACTTCTACCATATCTTCTCTTGGCCCCAGCTCCTCCACGTCGCCGAGGACTCTTCCAAGAAGATCGTGGGCTACGTCATGGCCAAGATGGAAGAGGATGCCTCGGAGAGCCACGGCCACATCACCTCACTTGCTGTCCTCCGCTCGCATCGCAAGCTTGGGCTTGCCACGAGGCTCATGAAGGCTGCAGAGTACGACATGGTGGAATGCTTTGACGCTGAGTATGTTTCTCTGCATGTTCGAAAGAGCAATCGTGCTGCTTTCCACCTTTACAGCGAGACGCTGGGCTTCCAGGTTCATGACATAGAGAAGAGTTATTATGCAGACGATGAGGATGCATATGACATGCGAAAAGATCTTCGAGATCACCCAAGGAAGAAGAAGAACAGGGAAGCAGCGGACCAGCTTGCGTCCGATGTAAAGAACATCTCGCTTAATGGCAACAAGGACGGAGAAGATGGCGGGCCTGAAGGGGTTACGAACGAAGGAGGAGTCGATGTATATGCAGAATCGAACGAGGAGGATGGCGCCAAGAAGAACAAGAACAAGAAGAAATAACGTGTTAAGCTTCCAGCAGCGTAAAGCGTTTGGCTGATCACGTGCTGCCAGACAGTTTTTGTATCTACTTTGTAATATCTATTCGATTGAATCATCAGCTGAAGCATCACAACCCTCCTGCCCTTTCCCTCTCCTCTTGCCCTTTCCCTCTCATTGTCTCTCTCCCTGCTGTCGTGTAGGAGTCGAACGCGCCGGTGAGAAGGGCTGGACGGACTCGCCGCAGCGCTTCCAGGAAGTGAGAGTGCGAGACAAGCTCGTTCTCCATGTTCTCCCGCAGACAGACCATCGCTGCCTGAAACATTGTGAGCGAAGAAATGCTACCTCTCTCTCCTGTTCCTCTCCTCCTTGTTCCTCTCCTTGTTCCTCTCTGTCTCATGCGTCTCTCTCTTCGTCCCCCCGCCCCCCCCCCGCCCCCATCCATCCTTCTCCTCCTCCCCCTCCCCCTCCCCCTCCGCTTCCATCCTTCTCCTACCTCCACCACGAGGCGATTGATTTCCGCTCCTGGGGGAAGGTCAGACCACAAACAGACCAGCAAGGAGAGTGAACCTGTATATCCTTCCGTCTTGTCGCTCATCGTCTTGAGATCCACATCTGCAGCTGGAGAGACTTCATTCCAGTAAGAACTCATCACACCTCACATATTGGCAGCCTCCTGGAGCATGTTGCAAGGATTTCTTGTCGTTCTGCGCAGTCACATTGTCAGGTAGGAGAAGTCTGACGTATCCCTCCCACCATGTGAGTCAGGCACAGGAACCTCAAGCACAACGTCAAATCTCCCGGGTCTGCAAAACTTTGGTCACTCCCAGCTACACAGCCAGCTCAACTGCTCATGACCGAAGGAGTGCAGCGTCGATCATGTCCAGTCTGTTGGTGGCTCCGACCACGACAACTCCTCCGCTCGAGTCAACTCCGTCCATCTCGTTCAGCAACGTCGAGAGGACGCGCTGCTGCACTCCGTTCGCCTCAGTACCATCCCCGGAGCCATCCAGACTCCTGCAAGACGATCAGTCGGAGCCTTGGGCGGAGGAGGGAACCTCTTGCCAACGATCGCGTCGATCTCATCGAGGAACAAGATACACGGCTTCATACGCCTGCGCAACCCAGGGGTTGACCATGGGCAGGAAGTGCATGATAGTACCTTGCACGTCGGAAGAGTTGCCGTAGGATAGCTTCACTCTGAGGCCAATGCGATCAACAAGCACACACGCCCCTTCTTCGCCTCTCACTTCTCCCAGATACGCAGAAAACAACTCTGATCCCGAAGCCTTGACGAACCCCAGACCCACCAGCCCAGCCAAGGACCGAACCTGTCAGAAAGTGAATCCAAGCCAACATCAACCGTCCCTGCACCAGCGATGTCTTGCCACATCCTGGCACTCCGTAGAGCAGAACCCCTCTAATCATCTTATCACTGAACACAGGCACGAAATGCATTGAGAGCGTGGGAGGCACGGGAGCAAGTCAGGCAAGGAGGGCCAAGCCAGAGGATGGAAGCCAGGCGAAGGAGGGAAGGCAACGCCAGGCTTGAAAGGAGAACTACCGAGAGGGGCGAACGTTCATTCGTCTAAAGCTTTCGGCTTTAGTCAGAGGCCACTCGATCGCCTTGAAACCACTTTAGGAAACGAAAGAGAAGAAGAAGCGCAGAACTCAACCCGCCTCAAGGCTTCTTTGACCCCCTCCATCCCCCCGAGAGAAGACATCGACTGCGACTCGTCTGTTGACTGCCGACCGAATCATCTAGCAGTTGCAGACTTCAAACAACTCACCGTGACTTGAATTTGAAAGTCTCTATGAACAGGTATCGAAATCTGCACAAGAGATTCTTCTTGACATTGAGGACAACAAGACACTACCAGGCGATTCACCTGTCTCATCGCATCCAAGAAATCAGAATGCATTACAGCGTGAGATCCAGTATGAATGTCTCCCTCAGATGCGTGCCTAAGAATACAGTTTCCTATTTCGACATGTCAGTCAAATCATTGTCGGAAACTGTGAATTGCACATCGCAAACACGAGGAAATGACTACAGGCGATCATAATGTTCGAATTTGAGGTCACAGTGAATGAGTTCACGTTCACATTCAAGAGCTTGACAATCGTATCAATGGTTTACCAGCAGCTTGAGAGCAGAGGGATTTCAAATTTGCACCGACGTAACCGACTGTCATCTTTGCTAACTGTGCATCAGTCAGAGAGCAGGCCAAGTGAAAGGATCTTATCACTTCTCGTGTCGAGACCGAGGGATGTAACTGCATGCTACCCACGAACTTCTCCAGCAGGACCTGCAAGGCCTCAGCATCGCGATTCTCCTTGTGATGGACTAACAAGTCGCTCCTGGACGTCAGGTGCTTCCAAGGCGACCTCGCTGCTCATGCCACGTCATCTTCATCGCACGAACCAGGGCCAGCAACCTGTCGAATCGCCCAGGTCGTCTCAGCGCGATGTCGATGGCGTCTGGGTTGCCCGTGCTGCCGACGATGAGGAGCATTTTCTGCAGCGCTCAAGTTAAGACCAAGAGAGAGGAAGCAGAGAGCAGCTGACTCGCGATGTCTTGGCGTCAACGCCATCCATCAGTGACAGGAGCTGAGCTACCGTCTGAAACTACCTCAGGTGGGCAGCTCAACATGCTCGAGACAATACCCGGGCTTCCTTGTCCCTTCCCTGCGCCCTTGAAGGACAGAGAACGTCAATGTCCCTGTGAGTGACTTCAGATCTTCGAATCCCTCGTTGTTGCTTGTGCTGACTTGAAGTGAATGATCGCTCGTCCTGCCTTCAAGGCGTTCCAAAACACTTCTCGGATCAACTCTTCTCCCTCGCCTGCCGCACCTCTATAGACTTGATGCGGCCGCACCTTTAAGTGACATTGCACGTCATGATATTCACCGGCGCATCTCATTGGTGCTCACGGTGAAGAGCTGAGCAGCGAATTCCAACGAGAGAGATTTGACCTGATATCAGCATTTGATCATCATGATGGACTCGTACATCTCTCACCCTCTCACCAGTACAGATTTTCCTGTTCCCTTGGCTCCGATCACAAGAATGCCCGAGGACGGTCTTATCCCCATGGTCTCAACCTTATACAAGAGTTACCCAGGGGTTTGCAAGGGAGATCGAGACCTTGTCCCTCTGATGGAAGATCATAGAGCACATGTCTCGCAGCTGCGACACAACCTGTGGAGAACCGAAGAATTCATGCTCAACCTTTGCAGTGTTGCTTGTGAGCTGCAGTCCTGACAGACTGCGGGATACAAGAGGAGAGTGCGGTGAGAAAGGAAGGTCGATGCTCGCGTCCGCTATCGCCTTCTTGACCTCAGCTCGAGTCATCATCGCACTCTTCTGCGCACTTCGCTCTTGTACGGGAGTTGACACGACCGGGGAGGAGAAAGAAATCGCCTCCTCGTTCTCGCTCTGACCGGGAGATCTCAGCAAGCTGTCGGAGAGGCGAGGTCCGGCTCTTGCTCCCTCGAAGATGATTCTTGTCTTCTTCAACACAGTCACGGCCCCATTCTCCGGCACACAGCTCGTTACGACAATCTTCCCTGAGCGACGTGCATGTCAGCGCATACCCTCACAAGGCACCGAGGAGGCAACGAGATTGAGGAGCACCTGCCGACGGCACGTGCAAGACAGCGTCCTTGGTGAGGACCTGGCAGCACGATCAGGTTCAGAGATAGAGCAAGAAGCACGACATGTCGTTCAAGTGCTGAGGAAATTGCAACACGAACTTGCGGTGGCGGATCTTCTTCGAACCCATCGCAGTTTAATCGGACGACACTCGCGATTCCGACGCTCCTCGCAAGTAGCCGCACACAAGCCGTTCCCAGACACTTTCCGCTCCATGTCTTCGTGTGGGAAGGCAGCGGCACTTTGTTCAAGGAGGCAGCAGAAGGGAGGCTGCGGTGTAGCTCCACACACCCATCAAAGAGGACGAGGTCATCGGGAAGCTCTGCGTCTCTTCAGCCCCTCCTCACAGCGCATGTCCTCCTTGCCTGGCTGTTTCGACGCAGAGCAGACGTACGTCATCTGCGATCCTTCCAACGTGACTGCCAACGCGTCTCCTGGGACAGCCTGCAGCAGATGGAGCGAGGAGGTAGACAGACGGCATCGTCCCGTGCCCTAGACATGGACGAGAGTGAGAGGTAGCGATACCCGACCAATGCTCACCCCGTCGGAAGGCCCCGGGATGAAAGCGACGCATCGTAACATATCTTGACGGCACCTCGTCAAACTCGATAATTGATCGGAAGCTACTCGAGTGACCGAGCAAGTTATCTTGGCAGTTCAGCGGAGCTCATAAGCGTCAAGCTCCTTGTCTTGATCACGTTCTTTACCTTTCAAGGTTGACCTGTCGCGTTTGTCAGGCTCTTCTCGTCTTTTCTCTACTTTTCTTGTCATTCCATTCTCCTTCTGCTCATCTTCTCAGCTGTCGCTTCTTTCCCGTCCATTGCGACCGCTCACCCGACATGCCTGAGAGTTTGAGGTCCCACTGACTTTCTCTGAGGCAGCCTGGCTGGCTGTTCCCAATCACATGTATATTTATTTTTATTATTAAAAGTAATTATTGATTCCGTAGGTCAAATGGACCTGGGACTTGAACGGAAATACTATGAGGTAGGGGTGGGCCGTATCAGCAAATAGTGTACCGGCAAAAGCGCCAGTACCTGGTGGAAATCCGAGAAAACAAAAGCTGAATTGAGGGTGGGGGGTTGTGGAAACGAAAGGGCTGAGGAACTCCGGGCGCTGAGGGTGGGGTGGGGGTAGTAAAGTTTTCCGGAGAACATACGGGTGGGCTGCGAAAGTTTATTTCAATGGGGGGTGGGGTGGGATGCTGTAGGGTGGTATGGGGTCGGGGGCTGGGGTAGTTGGGGTTTGTCCCCCCAGCCTGCGATCTGTCGGCCGTCAAAGGAGTAAAAGCGTCGCTAATTATAAAACTATAAACATTTAATGAATTTTAAAAATATTTAGAAATTGAAATGCTACTGGTGAGAATACAACTCTGTTTTAAAGATATCGAAAAGACGTGGTGTCGGCGACCGGTGCTTTCCATGCAGCGACAGCTTCAGCACTCATTTCGGTGGCATGGGCTAGCCCTCGTTCCTCGTCCCGTGCCCACCATAGTCCTCTGATCTCTCTCCCCCCGCGTCTCTCTCTCCTGTTCCCCGCATCGCGGAGCAGACAACGCGTGTGGAACGATTATTTGCAACATTTTTGATACTGGCTGAAAATGAGCACTTTTTGCGACGTGCAACGTTGTGAATTGTTACTGATGTAGACATCATTCTTTCCGACGAAGCGATGATAGACGAGAATAGCCATGGAAGCATTTCCGCGATAGCTGAAAGATGGAGATCGTTCAATGTGCCTGCCACTCATTCGCCAAGCTCGTATGATTCGCAGAAAGGTGTTCTATTGCCACATTTGAAGGAAAAGAAAGCAGGCAATACCAACAAGACTGTCCGTTTCGAGGGAAATTTTGCCATCGCAACTCGGCATTTCTCCGAGCCTCCCACATGCCCGGATTCACCTCCATCTACGCCGAACCAACCCGAAGCTGGAAATGGAGGCGACTTGTTGCTGACGGAGATCGCCAGGCAGACACTACCAGATGAAGATTTGGCGTCGGAGCTGAAGAAGAAAGAGGTCTCTCCTATGCTCACTTTCAACGGCGACCCGGAAACTGCTAATTCCTCTCTCGTCTTCCTCGAACCCAAACAGTTACAGAAGTCCAGGCCACCTCCGTTGGAGCAAGGGTTCCAGCATGCGAAGAGACAACTGATGGCTGCCCCTGAGCTGTCTGACCAAGATGAGGTGTCTAACGAAGATTCTGATGAAGGAATCAACATGAACAGCCCTGGTCAAGTCGCTGAGACAACAGGCATCTTGTTAGAAAACTCCCCCATGGTCAGTTCACAGAAGGAAGGAAGGAAGCGCAAGGGACTGCGTAAACCTCCTTCCTTGAAGCTCTATCCCGTGCAGAAGGAAAGCCCCAAGGCAAAGGGAAAGCACGATCACAGGCAGCTCGTGCTGTTCGGCCTTGAGATCATGAACGACCTTCTTGCCGAAAGGGAGAAGGCGTCGAATCAGATTGACCGAAGAACGGATTCTTGGATCCGGCGGAAGGAGGAGGGGACGCTAACAGAGAAAGATTACGAAGCTGACTTCGGGCGGAGGCAAGCGCGTTTCGTGCGCGAGGAGATGCTGGAGTCAAGGAGGTTCATCCACAAGGGATACGTGCACAGGTCCTCCAAAGAAAAGTTGCAGCGGGATCATGATGCGTCTGAAGAACGTCTTCTGATCCTCGATGGGATAGGAAACCTCAACTACGTGAGTGAGAGCAACTCAGGTAGTGCAGTCACCCTGTGCAACCTTCACTCCATCGTCGAGTGTCACGCGTTGGAAGACTATGATGGTGAAGGGCATTTTCCCTTCATGGTAGTTTACGTGGATAAGTCGGGGAGGATGGATGGGAGGGCAGAAGAAAAGAAGAATAGGAATACTCTTATGATAGATACTAGTGTTGACTCGGATAGGAAAGAGCTTGTCTTAGCCTCCCGGACACCGGAAGAGCGGATTCGATGGATGTGTCAGCTTACCTCAGCAACGCCAGCGAGATTAAAACCCAAGAACGAGACGCTGGTACTTGTCAGTGCTACCTTGCCTTCTTCTGACTCCCTGCAGTGGAAAGTTCAGAACACTTTGTTCAACGCTTCGAGGAAGATTGTGTCGGGGAACAGGAGGAGGTATATGGACGGCAAGTACAACTTAGACCTCACTTACATCACCCCTCGGTGACCTTTGCCGTTGAATTTCAATCACAAAGAAAAAATTGATCGACTTGCTGTCATTGCAGTGTGATTGCCATGGCATTTCCCGGATATGACAGCATAGGTGCATGGCCTTCCTCTTCCTCCTCCGCTCCTGTTCCTCCTCGTCCTCCTTGTCCTGTTCTTCTTCCTCGTCCTCGTCCTCGTCCTCTGCTGCTGCTGCCTGCTGCTCCCACTACCCTCATGTTCTCTTCTCCGTTTGCTTCGTCTTAGGCTATTTCCTTCCTCCATCTCTAGCTACCTAACTTCGCTACTTCGCTTTGCAGGGGAATTTTCTCTTGCCGTTAGGAATGACTTGCGAATCGTCAAACAATTTCTGGACGAGAAGCACACGGGGAGGTAGTTGTGATCGGGAGGGAAAGGAGGAGAGGTGCTAACTGACAGCATCAGGTATAAAGTTTACAACCTTTGTGTTGAGAAGAACTACAGCGCTAGCAAGTTCGACGGCAGGATGGAGTGGTTGCCCTGCAATGACCACCAGCCCCCCAGCTTGAGGCAGATGATGCGGTTCTGCTACAGGTCCCAACCCCAGCATCTACCTCCCCCCCCCCCACTCCCCATCTTTTGCTCCCCCTCCCTGCTCCTCCTCCCCTGCTCTTTCTCTTTCCCGTTCTCTCCTCCTCGCTCCTCCTCAGCACTGCCTCTCCTCTTCTCAAACTTTGCGACTCTTAAAGCAACTCACCATCTCGCAGTGTACAGAAGTGGCTGCTGATGCATCCGGACAACGTGGTTGCCATCCACTGCAAGGGAGGCAAAGGGAGGACGGGACTCATGGTCTGCAGCTACCTCAACTTCAGCGGCTTCCTGAGCTCTCCAGAGGAAGCTCTTTCCTTCTTCCAGGAGAAACGAACTCTCAATCCCGAAGGCCCTCTTCAGGCATCCTCCTCCTTCTCCCGTATCACCTGAAATGCCACTTCAACGCCTCCTCATCGTTATCATTTCCTGTTGATCTCCGCCTGCTCCTTGTCCTACCTCCCATCGCTCCTCCTTCTTGCGTGTCTGACGGGGCTCTGAGCAGGGCGTGTCGGGAGCGAGTCAGAAGAGATATCTTGAGCTGTTCTCCGACGCTCTCACCTCCCGCATCGTCCAGAAAACTTTCCGCATCCTCCAGGTGGGCATGCGCGGCATGCCTTGTCAAGCTAACGGCCGCTGCAGGTTGTCGTGCACACAGTCCCTCGACTGGATGGGGTCAACAACTTCACGCCCGTGGTAGTGGTGAGGGCAGCGGGCGAC